CACCAAAGTAATCCGAGAGAAGAACGTACAACATGCGTTATTATTTCTATTTCTACTATCTTGGAGCCTATACGATCGGGGTTAGTTTTAAGGTGAAGGGGGTGGTGTTTCGAATCTGTCTCTTGGGTAGTTTTGGGGTGAAAGGGGTGATGTTTCGGATCTGGCTCTTAGGTATTTCTAGAGCACTAAAATAGCACCAAAATGCTGCATACTGCTTTTTCCCGCGAATCTTTCCCTTAACGTAGTATGCACTGTGGGGGTGCTGAGTAAACGTTCACTCAGCACCGCCACTGATTTTCGGTATAAGGTGTGGAGTACTAAAATTGAGGTTATAGCACTAAAATAGCACTAAATTCTCCAACAGGTTTCATTCCATATTTCCGATGTGGGGTTGCCTACTGTACATACATGCAAATACGACGCACTCAAGCGCCTTCTAATTCAGCGTTTTACAGATTCCCGAGAAAAACAGCCCCACAAACTATTAACAGAACTGGAGCTCAAAGACAAAACATTCTCTCAATTACTGAGAGAAATGCAGTCATTGGCAGGCAGCAACCTTCCAGACGACGTCCTCCGGACGCTCTGGGTGAAACGAATACCCTTAAACGTTCGTTGCATACTGTCGGCAAATGAAGGTATGGACACGTACAAACTGGCTCAGATAGCCGACAAAATCATGGAAGCCACACTACCCTCCAAAGTCATGGCGGTAGAGGCACCTCTTCCTCACAGAACAACGAAACACAACTCCGAACCGGAAAGGTTGACAACCTTAGAAAACAAGGTAACAGAACTAACCACACTCATCAAACAGTCCCACAGCACTCTGAGCGCCGACAACAAGCCCACAGAATCTGCGCCCGACCACGTTCACACTCAGCGAGTCACACAAAAGGTACAACTATCTGCTATTATCACCGACGCTTCGGGCCAACGGCAAGAAGGTGTGCTACACCTTATACATTCGCCTCACCAACGGAGCAAGAAAACTAATGACGCCGCCGGTCGTCGAGCTGGTCAACGGTGGCGTACCTCTTTAGTCCCGGCTCCATATCCTGGACCAAGCCAGCGGAATTCGATTCTTGATAGACTCCGGAGCGGACATGTCAGTAGTCCCGCGCACAACTTACCAAGGATCCCTTAAACTCTCCGCGACAACATTATTCACCGCAAACCATGCGCCGATCAAAACGTACGACAACAAACTCATCGAAGTACACCTCGGTCTCCGACGCTCATTCAAGTGGAAATTCGTGATAGCGAACGTTTCCAGTGCAATACTGGGAGCCGACTTCCTGTCGTCCTTCGACCTACTGGTCGACCTCAAGCAGCGCCGACTTATCGACCAGCAAACCGGCCCCACCTCCAACGGCGAACTCTGCAACACGAAGTCATACGGCATCTCAACCGTAGCTGACGTGTCAAAATACAAGAAACTCCTGCGGCAGTTCCCCAGTGTTACCTCTACGACACGTCCTCAACGCTGTGCATCACATCCCATAGTCCAAATCGTTACCAACGACCCCCCAGTGGTAGTTTGACCACGGCAGCTGACGGGAGCCAAACGTAAAGCAGCCGAGATTGAACTTCACTACATCATGGAGTAAGGAATTTGTCGTCCATCCGACAGCCCGTGGGCAAGTGCGCTCCACTTTGTGGCAAAGAAATCAGGTGAGTGGCGTCCATGTGGCAACTACAGACAGCTTAATGCTATCACAGTTCCAAACAGCTACCTTATCGCACACATCATCGAGGACTCCAACTCAAAACTCCACGGGAAAACAATTTTCTCGAACCTAGACCTAGTAAGAGCCTATCACCAAATTTCAGTGGCAGAGGAAGACATTCCAAAGACAGCAGTCACCATGCCGTTCAGATCCTTCGAATTCTTTTCAATGCCATTTGGAGTACGCTATGCAGCCCAAACATTCCAAAGCTTTATTGGCACAGTATTGCGAGGTTTGGTATTCGTTAAAACTACCTGGATGACATTTTGATCGCCTCCACCACCAAGGAGGAACACCAGAAGCACTTGCGTACCGTACTCGAGCGCCTCACCAGAGTACGGTCTATCGATCAATCCAGCGAAATGCGTATTCGGGAAACCGGAAGTAGCATACTTAGGCTATACCATTTCAGCCGAAGGCACCAAACCTCCACAGACTAGGATACAGGCCATCCGCGAGTACAAGAAACCACAGACAATAACCGAGCTACGCAAATTCTTAGGCGCTCTCAATTTTAACAGACGCTTTGTAAAAACAGCGGCCAGTCTCCTGGCCCCATTAAACAACTGACTAAAGAATTCTAAGAAGAACGACAAACGACCGGTACCTTGGACCACGGAGACCGAACATGCTTACGAACAGTGCAAAGCAAACCTAGCGAACTCGTGCATCCCTGTGAAAACGCAGATCTCTTGCTGACGACCGACGCGTCAGACATAGCAGTAGGAGCATCACTGGAACAGTTACACGCAGACGGTACCTGGCACCTACTCGGTTTCTTCTCCAAGAAATTGAGCCCAACAGAGCAACGGTACAGTACGTATGACCGCGAACTACTAGCAATCTACTCAGCAATCCCTTTCTTTAAGCACATGCTGGGGGCTAGACATTTTCTGGTGTGAACAGACCACAAGCCGCTCACGTACGCATTCATCCAAAAACCAGAAAAAGCATTACCTTGTCAACTACGACACTTAGATTTTATATCCCAATTCACCACAGAAATAATCTATCTGGCGGGATCCGAAAACACGGTAGCGGACGCCTTTTCAACACTTGAGCAAATCAATATGCCAGTTATCGTGACTGCCCAACAACTTCAGGAAGCCCAGGAGGAGGACAAAGAGCTTCGGCAACTCCTGCGGTCAATCACGTCAGTCAAGTTTCAGAAACTAACACTCGACAAAGAAGGAACAATATACTGCGACGCCTTGATCGGCAACATACGACCATACGTACCCGGTAAGCTACGCAAGCAAATATTTCAAACCGTCCATGGCCTCTCACATCCAAACAGACGATCAACGTGCCGAGCCGTCCGTCAGGAATTCATATGGCCAGAGATAAAAAAAACATCCTCCAATGGGCAAGATTCTGCATACTGTGCCAACGCTCTAAAATTCAGAGACCTACAAGGAACGCACCAAGACAATTCGCTCCAACAGACGAGAGGTTTGAACACGTGCACCTGGACATAGTCGGGCCGTTGCCCCTGGTCCAGGGGTACGAATACTTACTCGCAATAATCGATCGCTTCACTAGGACGCCAGAAGCAGTCCGATTAAAAGACATTAGCGCCGACACTGTAGCACCAACATTTTACACGAGCTGGGTAGCTCGCTTCGGTTCTCACCACCACGGACCAGGGAACCCAATTCGAGACAACACTGTTCCGAGCCTTAACTTATCTGGTGGTAGCCCAGAAAACTCGTAGCTCACTGTATCACCCAGTTGCTAACGGCATGATCGAACGCTAGCATTGGTCGCTCAAAGCGGCATTAATGTGCCACGGGTCGACACCGTGAGTGGAACTATTGCCCACTGTCCGACTGGGACTGAGAACATGCTGCAAAGAGGACCTCAAAGCATCAGCAGCTGAATTGGTCTACGGCATACCACTCAGAGTGCCCGGAGAATTCTTCACCAGCGAAGACGCCAACCCCGATCCACAAATATTCATCGAGAAGTTCAGAGAACACATGAGAAAACTGCGAGCCACGCCAGCAGTCCACCACGCCACGAAAAGCATCTTCGCACACAAAGATTTTTTCTCTTGTTCGCATGTATTCATCAGAGATGAAACCGTTCGCAAACCGTTGGAGCCACTCTACCTAGGACCATTCAAGGTGGTGGAGCACATTAACGAATGGCTATTCAAAATCAGCATCAACGGAGAAGAGAGAAACATCTCTACAGAGCGACTGAAACCAGCCTACTTAATCAACCAAGACGCTTTACCGGAACGGAGTCCAAAGCCAAACCTCGTAAGCGGCACTCCAACTCCACCGGCAGAGCTGAAGACGTATACCCGCACCAAGAAGACAGTATCGTTCGTAACCACCTCAGGGGGGGGGGAGTACTGTGGCGGGCCCCAGATGAAGTCCGGCCATCGGCCACCAGGGGCGTAGCGCGCGACGAGTGCGGTGCGTTCTGTCCGGTGCAACCCGCGTTACTCCGCGTGCGCATTACCGAACTCACCATTCCGACGGAAACGACCGCGGAAAGCGGAACCAGTCTGACCACGATTGCTGTTAACCGCGTCCAACCAAGCCACTGGTTCTTCCGCCCGCGCGGAGGTCCACGTCCTCGCTTTTGTAATATTAACAGTACTACATTATCAACCGAACTGTGTGAATCATTGCTTTCCTAATAATAATAGAGGGGGAATATACCCGTCGACCCCACACCAGCTACTTCTCTGACTCTAAATTTTCCTAAATCTAAAGATATTACAAAGAACATTTGGCAACGTTACTAATTACTTGTTGCTTCACAATTCGTTCCCAACATACTTTACGTCACTAAGGACGATGACAGCATCCAGGCATGCGTACCACGGGACCCTAACAATTCCAAACCAAGTTATGGTGATTTAAGATGATTCAAATAATAAATAAATATCTCGTCTTCTAATTCTCACTTACTTCCTAATTGTTTGAAATCTTACCATGTAAACATAGAAGCCCTAAAACAGGTCCTGTTACCCATAAAAATCCATTTTCATAAAAAAAATCATCAAATGTTTATGAATAATTTAAAAAAAAATTCAAAAACATGTGTAAAAACAAATTTAAAAGCATGAAACTTCAAATGATTATTGCTTTGATACTTTTAGTTTGGACAAAAGTTTCATATATTGCACATTAGACGCCACTCTCACATTACCTTCAGCACACTCAAACATCATTAAACAAATATTTGATGTTATTAGATAATGAACATTTTTTGCGGCTTTGAGAAATGTAGTAAAAATATACAAAATCAAATTACCGACTGCATGTTCTTAAGAACATCAGCTGCCACGGTTAATGCTTGACTAAAAGCTCGCGTGGCGACAAAAGACCTCTTGATTTGGACACTGAGCTTTTGAGGCACATCTCCAAAAGGTCTCATGTCCTTCATATTATTGCCTACACATTCTAAATACTTGCTGTCGAATTTGTACTGGCTGTTGAGTACGGTGAACATTTTCTGATAAAGCGTGTTGAAGAAATTATCCATTGTTTCAACAAGATCGACCTGAAACCAAAAAAATAATGCAAATAATTATTTCAGTATATTACCTCACCTGAAAATAGAAATAGTACTTTACGAATTACAAAATTGACATTTTAACACTTTTCAAATTTATAATAATAATGAGAATCATTAACCCCGTCTCTGTGCGGTGTCCAGATACTAGTAACAAAAGTGCCACCAGTGTAGATGACAGAATACGGGCACCTGAGGGGGGGGGGGGGATTACATAATTCCGATTTTTATATCTGGACGTCAAAATCGGATCCGATTATATATGGACATTTCAAGGTTCTTGGGATTGCTGAATTCAAATCTGGAAATAGAATTCCAAAATTCCAAATGGCCGTACAATGTTTTGATCGTCGAATGTTTATTAAAAAACGGTACCTCAAGTGTAAGAGGTAAAACGTAATTTATTCGATCAGGGAACTCATTATAACTCCGCGCCAAATACATTTTCGTGGACACAGTCCGCTGATCTCTTTTTCTATCTGGGCGCGAACGCGCGCGAACCAAGGTTATGTGGGACGTGACAATGCCTAACGCACGTCATATCGAATAATTGCCAAAATCTTGAATTGGCCTTTCGAAATTTTTAAGGCGAAGTGAAACACGTCGAGGAACTTGATCGACGTCGATAAACAAGATTTTTCTAAATGCCTACGTTGCCGACGTTCCATATTATATTGACAGCTGGGTCGAATTATATTGGGTATTGTACCAAATGACATATTCCACCTCGTGTTCGTACATTAATTATAAAGAGATCGAAGTAAAACCATAGAAATCCTCTGGATTCGTGCTTTCTGGGGCCCTAATTGACGGCAGAGGGACCCCCTGCGCCATCTGTGATTTCCAGGTCAATCATATGTTCACTCCGAGACCTCGTATTGCCATTGTTTTGGCATAGAATCGCATAAAACACTTTTTTTGCCCTTATCCCGCTCAAATACGAGTTTATCGATTACCAGAGTGTTCTAAATTGTTGTAAAATTATCCTGACCCTTTCGTTTCTCATATCAGAGCCTTCGATAATTGTATATTGCTGCAGAGGGACCCCCTGCGTCATCTGTGATTTCCAGATGAATTAAATCTTCACTCCAAGACCTCGTATTACCATCGTTTTGGCATAGAAGCGCTTACAACACTTTTTTTGCCTTCATCCCGTTCAAATACGAGTTTATCGATTACCAGAGTGTTCTAAATTGTTGTAAAATTATCCTGACCCTTTCGTTTCTCATATCAGAGCCTTCGATAATTGTATATTGCTGCAGAGGGACCCCCTGCGTCATCTGTGATTTCCAGATGAATTAAATCTTCACTCCGAGACCTCGTATTACCATTGTTTTGGCATAGAAGCGCTTACAACACTTTTTTTGCCTTCATCCCGTTCAAATGCGAGTTTATCGATTACCAGAGTGTTCTAAATTGTCATAAAATTGTCCTGACCCTTTCGATTCTCATATCAGAGCCTTCGATAATTGTATATTGATCGAAATATGAGAGCTCGACGGCATTTTGGTTTTGTTCTGGGCTGAGTTAAAAAATTTTTTTAAAAAATCCAAATTTTGAATATGTCAGGACAATTCTTAGATGATCAGGAGTGATGCGTCAAAGTTTCGGACAGTTTGGTCTAATGCCCTTAAAAAAAAGTGTTGTATTCGAATCGACTGATCTGAAGGGGGTTTCACTTCACCTTAACATCTCACCGAAACTCGGTCTGGCCAATGCTCTCAGGCGAACTTCATCTGGTCTTCCTGAGCCAAGGCCCCCTAAGACCAAACAGCACCCGTAAGCCTACGACTCGTACTACAAGGTCGATACTTTTATTTACCCACTTGGCTCCTTGGTACACAATGTATTACTATACTCTGCTAGATGGTACTAGATCCTCTACATTACGTTTTATTACAGCGGTCCAATTAATAAAGCGATCCAAATTAGACAACTTTCCTTTCCCTACAAAGGTGTGATGAAATGGGAAATGTACTTACCGTTCCCTTGGCGTAATAATTCTCCAGTTCCTTAAATAGGTCCGTGAAGACAGATGAGTTCTGCTCGTAGAGAATGCCATAAGTTTTCTTAAACATCTCGTGGAATCCTTTCTTGCTAGTGGCCAAGAGGTCCTTAAAAAAACCTAGAAAATATTTCAATCATATTATGTGGAGGCAGAAATATTTTCCTGAAACGTCATTTTTTAATATAGTACCATACGCACATACAGAATGATCAAATTCTACACATTAATGATTCGGGTAGGGGGGACCGAGTTGTTACATTTCGTGGTGAAAATTTGTCTACGAGTATCCTACTATACCTGAAAAGTTGAGCTTCTCATCGTCAGTTAAGTAAACCACTTCGATACAGTTTAGCAATGCCGCACAGTGAGGCAAATTGAACGCGTACAAGATTGTGTTAAAAACACATGAGTATAAATATGACAGAAGACAATAAAGAAGTAGATAAAGTAATCAGAACGCAAGATTTATCAGAAAACTCGGCAGAGTTTGACGCCAACTACATTTATACATACGTATATAAGTGACCGACTTCATACGCCAAATTTTGGTATATTTAATTCATAAGAATTAATATCTCTGCATCTAAGACTACTTCGTGATTCACGACTGAAATACATGAGTAGTAAATGTTTTCGCAGTTATTAAGAAACTCGGTAGAGTTTCGCGCCAAATATACAATGTGACAATGGCGGCGCCTCGGCGTTTGCGCATCACCTTCATTTGATCTCCCTGACGCGACCGTTCAAGAGATTACCAGAAATGCGTTAAAACTCAAAACCTAAACTCCACAAGGATACACCCGGAAACTCTAAGGGTTGGGCGCCACGTCTCTCCGGAGGCCAAAATTCTGTTACGAGGTTACCGTATTTCTTCAAAATAGAGAGGCGCACGTTACATTAAGTATCGGAGGATAAATATCGAATTCAAAGCAGCGACAGTGTCACCTGATTAACCCGGAAAAACAACAATGAGCGAAGCGATCATCAAGGAATGTTTTGGCTTATTTGCACGCCTTCCGCACCGAACTGTACTCTGGACAAAAACACGGGGCTTACACATTCGTCAAGATAGTGACTTCCTGATCACATCCGATCGAACCCAGTTCTAAATTGTCGTAAAATTGTCCTGACCCTTTCGATTCTCATATCAGAGCCTTCGATAATTGTATATTGATCGAAATATGCGAGCTCGACGCCATTTTGGTTCTGGTCTGGACTGAGTTAAAACATTTTTTTTTTAAATCCAAATCTTGAATGTGTCAGGACAGTTCTTAGATGATCAGGAGTGATATGTCAAAGTTTCGGAAAGTTTGGTCTAATACCCTTAAAAAAAATGTATTCGAATCGACTGATTTAAAGGGTGGTTTCACTTCACCTTAAAGCTCGATACCTCGTGGCGAAGTGGCTCCTGGTGCAGCCACTTCGCCACGAAGTATGTCGATTCCTACAATGCCTTTGAAACTAGTGATGTGACGAGTCGAATACTTTAACAACTCGAGTTAGTCGAATTCGAAAGCATTGCCAACTCGAGTTCGAACTCCAGTAGATAACTCGATGCCGCATACATTTGTTACCGGTTAACCGGAGCCTGCAGCGACGGTTCTGAATTTCTAGGACGAAATTCGGAGTGAAAAATTCGGAAAGAAAAATGATCGTTACAATTTTGACCGAGGATTCTATATCGCGAGTATGCTCTTCACATATTGACGCCGGAAACGATGCAAAAAGACTGTTCAAAGAATATCCCAAGCGGCTGAAATATTCCCATCGGGGATTCGTTGCTTTTTCAAAGTGCTTTGCACTTTTACTGATTCGTACCCTTGTGGTCGTACTTCAAAAAAGACTGGATAGAGGATTTTCAAATGAATGAGATACAAAGTATAGGTTAAGTATAATTAACAACAAAACAATTTACAATGGATACAAACCAAAGTTTGTTTAAATACGAATGGAAGATTAAGAGTGACGCGATAGAGGCTAATTCGCGTGGAACGATCTTCTTCATTAAGAACGAATTTAAAATTTATGGGTACTTGGGAAAGAAATCTACGTCCTAGGATCGCGGATCGGTCCCAAGTCTATCTTCCGATTGTGTCATAAACGATCTGTTCGGTCTCCCTAAGAATGTACAGTGGCCGTCGATACCTAAGTCCAATCAGTTCCCTACACCGAGACAGAGTTCCAACAGTCGGGAAGTCCCGAGGACACGTCTTTACCGAACGGTGGTCAAACGTCTTCAAAGCCCAATAGAAACTGTTTTCGGGTGTTTATATACTGTCAAAAGAGCATCGGTTGCGGGTGGGTTCGACGGATTTTGGCATAAGGCGTCGCCGTGCACGGTCAAACGCCAGTTGATGCCCTGCCAATTCTGCAGAATTGCATCCTTGAATCGGCAGCTCTGCTTGAGGTTAGTGAACTGGTAAATTTATAAGGTTTTTGAAAAATGCGACCTACTGCCGCACACATTCAACGCCGCGAGTAGAGTCTTTGGCGAGTTGGCAAGTAAAACGACTCGATTAAGGTGAAGTGAAACATCCTTCAAATCAGTCGATTCGAATACAACACTTTTTTTTAAGGGTATTAGACCAGACCGTCCGAAACTTTGACACATCATTCCTGATCATCTAAGAATTGTCCTGGCACATTCAAAATTTGGATTTTTTAACAAAATTTTGTAACGCAGCCCAGACGAGAACCAAAATGGCGTCGAGCCCTCATTTTTCAATGGATATACAATTATCGAAGGCTCTGATATGAGAATCGAAAGGGTCAGGACAATTTTACAACAATTTAGAACACTCTGGTAATCGATAAACTCGCATTTGAACGGGATAAAGGCAAAAAAGTGTTGTATGCGCTTCTACGCTAAAACGATGGGAATACGAGGTCTCGGAGTGAAAATTTAATTGACCTGGAAATCACAGATGGCGCAGGGGGTCCCTCCGCAGTCAATTAGGGCCCCGGAAGGCATGAATCCAGAGGATTTCTGGAGTTTTACTTCGATTTCTTTACAATTATTGTACGAAAATGACAGGTGGAGTATGCCATTTGGTACAATACCCAATATAATTCGACACAGCTGTTAATATAAAAACGAACGTCGGCAATGTAGGCATTTAGAAAGATCTGCTTTATCGTCGATCAAGTTCCTCAACGTGTTTCACTTCACCTTAACGGCGACTCGAGTCGAAGTGATATAACGAGTCGAGTACTTCATCGCCTCGAGTTACTCGAATACTGTTAACTTGAGTCGACGACTCGATGCCTCATGCATTCGATGCGAGGAGTCAAGACAACGAGTTGGAAAGTAAAACAATTCGAATAACGATTACTCGAATATACAAATACAGCACGTGCCGAAATGGGATATCTTATCAATGTCTGCCCTGATGAAGCGAACTGCAACGTTTGCGAAACGTCGGCCCCCTGGCGATAATGGACGCGACTCATTCCAGAAATCCACAACAAATTTAACCGTTTGACTGCTACACGGCGCAAAAGCGCTGCGTTCAATTGTCTCAAAAACCGCGACGCAGCGCTTTTGCGCTGCGAGTTTCAGTGTGTCTTTGTTGCTCCGCAGTTTTCGTGCGTTCTTGCAAAAATTGCTTAGCAGTCAAACGGTTAAGGAACGACTCTGGCCACGGAAACTTAAAATCTTTCAATAAGGCACGATTAGTATCTCGGTACGAGTAATTCGCTCTCATCCTTACACTCGTAACTCGCATTCGTTTGTACCAGTAACTCGAGTTACAATAAATATAACTTGAGTTGACTCGAATTTAACAAGTTAAAATACTCGATTCGTCATATCACTAATTGGAGCAGCTAACAATAAACGATATTCTACCATAATTCGGATTTTTGGCCATTTATTCTATCCCATTTCCTTTTGTCATCCCACGGCGGCTCTGACAAGATCGGTGAGCATCTCGCGAACAAGCTTCTATCCCCCGCCTCTAATGCCCAGCTATTTGCGGTGCTCTGGCAAAACCAGGGCGCCATCTATCTCAAGTGTTCTAACAAGGTGGAGTTCGCCCCCACGGCAAAAGCGTCACTCTCGCGGACACCCTCCCTCCACCTCTCTACCTATCCTTCCAAAATTAAGCAACTCCGAGTTGACTCGGACCGTGATACGTTCTTTTTCGGTTAATTTTTCGGCTTTGGGATGATTCCCTTTTAAGCCAGGGTTTTGCAGTGTTGGTAGTATGTGTTGTTGCGACGTGAACAAAACCATAAAGTAATTCAGTGACTAGCGTCGTCGGCAAAAGGGCAATTTCCGACTGATTTGAGGAAGCCTAATCCCCACATACCTTCTGCCGGCAATTATCGACCCTAAGTTGGAACCGTTTGGACGTTTATTGTATTTAAACACTGTTCCGACAGTAAATTCTGAGTGCGAGTCCACATTAGGGTACACCGTTACGAAGGTACCGATTCACTTGCCAGTCTAGGCGTTTCTTATAATTACCATTAGAAAAGCGCCCAATCAGAAACCATTGTTCAGCAACCTATCAAATCGCGATCCCCACCTTTCTACAACGTTTCCCTTAAACATAGTTTTTCTAGTCTACAACAGAAGTTCATCAGCCGATGAACCGACAAGGTCAACACATACATAATTATACACGTCTACACCTCGCACTTGGTGCTTGTCAAATAAAGTTATATTTTTTGTCGTTAACAAAAAGTCTGTTCATTCATTGAATTAATCGCACAAAATTAAGTTGGCGTGCGATCGCGTCCGTGTTGAATTGAGGACGCGACATGTATTATAGCGTTTATATTGGGTTGGCAACTAAATGATTGCGGATTTTGTCGATAGATGGTATTAAAAACCCCGCAATCACTTAATTGCCAACTCAATATAATCAATACTTTCTTTTGTGTATAGGTCTTAAGGTAAAGTGAAACACGTCGAGAAATTTCATCAACGTCGGTAAAAAAGATTCTTTTAAATACCTACGTTACCGACGTTCACAAATATATTAACAGCCGTGTCGAATTATATTGGGTATTGTACTAAATGGCATACTTCACATGTCGTTTCTATACAATAATTATAAACAAATCGAAATACAACTTCAGAAATTGCCTGATTTCATTGTTTTTGATGCCAT